GCACAGAGAGAGGCCTTTGCACAGAGCAGCTTTTACAATCTTATACGCGCAGAAACTTTAAACTAAAATCGCAATTTTACACAAGTTTTATTTCGCGCGAAACGGTTGTGCCTGACGTTTCAACATGGATAAAGTCGCAATTTTACACCAATTCTTGAACGTTGGCATCTGACGTTACAAAATCGCAGTTTTCCCACAGTTGTTGCCGTTTGACTTTCACCCACGCCTGCATCTGAACTTTCAAAATCACAATTTTACACCAGTTTTTGACGGTTGACCCTCATTTCGTGCGAAGGGGCTGTGCCGGGCCTCACCAAATTTGCATTTTGCCACATGTTTGGATGTCCGACCTGCGCGATCTCTGAAGAGGGTTGCCCGTGCCCAAAAGAAATTCACATTCCACCACATGTTTGGGCGTTCGAAACGCATGATCTCCGCAGACGGCTGCTGCGGGCAAAGAAGTTTCGCATTTCACCACACCACATGTTTGCCCATCCGACACGCGCAATCTCCGCAGAGGGTTGCCCAAGGACAAACAAGACCCGCATTTCGCAACACGTTTGGGTGTCCGACACGCCGCAAAGGGTAACGATTCGTAAGCCACCGCCTGGCTGTCCCTACCACCAGAGAGAAATAGAAGAACTGGATGATTTTGCAGGAGTTCAGATACAATTTGATCACCTGGAAGTTAGCTGAACCCCTGTGTAGCAACTCCTGTGTAACAATTTCTGTGCAAAATGACCTTGCCGGCAGGAGTCTTGTAGGAGTTCAAGTAGAAATGGATCACCTGCAAGTCAACTCCTGTGTAAATGACATTGTTCAAGTTTTGTAGAAGTTCCCTAGAAGTTGATCACCTGTAGCTGATGTAGGTGATGTTGTCTATGTTGTAGATGATGAGGATGATGTTGCAAGTGATGTAAGGTTAGATAGATTTGAAGATGTAGGTGATGTATAGGATGCAGTGATATAGATGATGATGTAGGTAAAGTATGGGTTGTCGGTGATGTATATCATGTAGATGAGGTTGATGGAAAAAGATTGTGTAGGTGATGTAGATGGTGTAGGTGAGATAGATGATGGTGATGATGATGATGGTGGTGGTGATGGTGATGATAATCATGATGATGTAGGGAAGATGGTGCAGAAGATGTAGGTGATGTGGGTGATGTAGAGGATGTAGTGATGTAGATGATGATGTAGGTACTGTATGTATTGTAGATAAAGCATGTCATACAGATGAGGTTGATGGAAAATGTGTAGGTGGTGTAGATAATGTAGGTGAGGCAGATGTAGGTGATGATGATGATGATGATGATGATGGTGATAATGATGATGATGGTGTAGATGTAGATGTAGATCTAGAGAATGGTGTAGAAGACGGTATAGGAGATGTAGGTGATGTAAAGGACATAAGAGATGTGGATGATGTATGTTAGGTAGATGAAGTGAAGAGTGAGGCGGAAAGCAGTTCTTTGGGAAAAAGCCTTCGCACGAGCTTCGGGAATTTTGGCCACAGTATTGCGAACGCTGAGGGAAAACGGTTTTTCATAAAGTGTTTGTGCTGTGATTGCGCCTTATACGCCCGACCTCTAGAGTAAGAAGGGCGGGGCAATAAACATACTTCACTCATTGCGTGTTTGGCAACTGTTTTTGTTTCTGGCTGTTGGGGATACTCTTTGGGCTTATTGTTTTTCCCATAGGAATTTTGTGAAGTTGCATCAGCATTTGTTTGGGAATGGGAAACCTCTACGCTGCAACGCCTGGGCAAAACCCAGGCGTTGCGCGTATATATATATATATTATAGTATATATATATATAAATATATTATATTATATATAATAGTATATCTCTCATAGTATATATATTATAGTATATATATATTATAGTATATATATATATATATTATAGTATATATATTATAGTATATATATTATAGTATATATATTATAGTATATATATATATTATAGTATATATATATTATAGTATATATATATATATTATAGTATATATATTATAGTATATATATTTTAGTATATATATATTAGTATGTATATATATATATATTAGTATGTATATATATATATATTAGTATGTATATATATATATTATAGTATATGTATATTTATATATATTATAGTGCATATATATATAGTATAGTATAGTATATATATAATAGTAGATGTATATATATATATATTAGTATATATATATATATGTATATATTATAGTAAATATATTCTAGTATATATATATTATAGTCTATATATATATTATAGTATATATATTATAGTATATATATTTTAGTATATATATATATCATAGTGTATGTATATTATATAGTATATATATATTATAGTATATATATCATAGTATATATATATATATTATAGTATATATATATTATAGTATATATATATTATAGTCTATATATATATTATAGTATATATATATTATAGTATATATATATATATATTGAATTAAATATATTATAGTATATATATATATCATAGTATATATATATATTATATAGTATATATATATATTATAGTCTATATATCATAGTATATATATATTATAGTATATATATTATAGTATATATATATATTATAGTATATATATATATTATAGTATATATATATATATTATAGTATATATATATTATAGTATATATATATATTATAGTGTATATATATATATTATAGTATATGTATATATATTATAGTATATATATATTATAGTAAATATATTATAGTATATAGATTATAGTATATATATATATTATAGTATATTTACAATATATATATATATATGCACACGATATATGTTAGTTTATTGGAGTGTATCCATCTTTTTCCTGCTAGCTGCTAGATGGTTAAAGCATTGTAAATGTTTGTCTTCTAAAGGCGATACCTCCTAGCACATCAAACATGGCGACGGAAAATCCCCATTCATGGCAGAAAAATCACTATCCCAAGCAGTTTCCATCAGACTTACTGCAACAATACATATACCATTCCCAAAAAATACATGCGTTTCTTAGAGTCTATAAAGTTGTGTCAGTGCGGTTTTTAGCCCTTTAAAATCCCAGAAAATTGTCACATCCCACGGCCAACTCTGCTCAAAAATGGCCGCCGGTTTTTCGCGCCTCCTGCGCTTGAGAGTTTGAAAATGCTCTCCACAACCTCTCAGGTCACCAGGATTTGTTCATCGCTTGCGCTCAATTTAATGTGATTTAATGGTGATTTAACCATGGTTAATAATGGTTAATAATGGTTATATAATAGTGGTTAATAATGGTTAATCCAAAAATCATAACTGTTTGGTGGTGCAATCACCATCTTGAAAAATGATGGAGTATGAGTTCGTCAATGGGGCTGGGATGACAACCCATATATGAAATGGAAAATAAAAAATGTTTGAAACCACCAACCACTTCGGTATTGTGACTATTGTGCACTGTAGTTTCCATTTGTTTGTCCATATAATGTTTTTCCATATTTCTTGGGGCTTAGTAAAAAGGACATTTTCCAAGGCTTTCTGACAAGGCTTAGCCAGAGATCCAGCGCCCAGTCGGTCCCAGTTCTGTTGGTTCTTGTTCTCCCAAGTTTGGCCAACGGCTCAAAAACCTGACTTCATATACACCATCAGGAGATAAAAATCAGGAGTTTCTTTCCGGATGATTTTGGGAACATCCTAGTCAGACGGTCATTAATCTTAATTACATTCATGGGAAAAACCTTCTGAAAAAAAAAACAAATGGAAACCTACCACTCACCAATGCTTACCCATTTATGGGTCGAAAATAGAGACATCCGCCGTCGACCGGGAGGCCCTGCCCCAATCTCTGTGGCTGTGGTGTCCATGCCTCAGCAGACATAGGGATTTATACATATTCGGAACCATTCACCATGGGGGTGTTTCATATGTTTGGGGGATGATGTATGCATCCAAACATTGACCCAGTTTTGTATGATGTAAAGAATTGTTTTTTTCGACCATGCAGTTAAATATGGCTGGCTATTGATAAAAATATTGTGGTAGACTGTGGTAGACTAACTGGTTGGCGGTTTCAACCCCTCTGAAAAATATGAAAGTCAGTTGGGATGATTATTCCCAATATGATGGGAAACATAAAAGTCATGTCCCAAACCATCAACCAAATAACCTAGTCAATCAGGCTTGACTTCTACAACCATGCTCATCAGCGGTATGTCCGGATCCTCCTGCATCAAAATCAATGGGATTGAACAAAACCGCACAAAGTTCACACATTTCGATTACATTCAACATGTAATAACAGCGCTAGTTACTAGTATATAACTCATATATATAATTATATATATATGTGGGTAGCGACGGCCACCTACTTAGAACACATGTTGGAAAAAAAACGGACTTCAAAACACGTGAGAAACCCTGTACTTAGAACACATCTGGGAAAGCTGGTACTTAGAACAAAAAACTTGCACTTTTAGAACAATTCTGGAAAATGGTGACACTCCAAAGAACATGTTTCATGATCATTCACAGGACACGATGGTTGGGCACGAACCCCATGTTTTACTTTGTTTTTGGCCCAAGATGAGGACGTGCCTGCAAAGTTTGGTTCTACCTATAAGATCGTATAAGTCAGTGATGTAGTATATCAGTACAACATACTGTGGATGGTTGCGAAATCCTGCACCACCAACCGGATGGTTGAAACCCTATAATTAATGGGATGTTTACCACCTATCAACTGGTGTAGGATTTCGCAACCATCCACAGCAGTACAACTGGTTCGCCACCCAGGGAGCGTTTGCAGCGCGGAACGTTTGGCAGTGCTTTTTCAGGTGCGTACTTATATATATATATGTGTACTTATGTGTATATATATATATATGTATATTCCAAATTCCAAGGATTGATATGGACATAGTGTTATTATAGCGCCGGACACCTACTTAGAACCACAAGGGAACCCCTACTTAGAACTTCTTAGAACAAAGGTACTGAGAACAAAAGTGGTCATTTTTTGTTCTAAGTCGGGAGAACATGTTCGTTACATTTTGGAAAAAAAGAACTGTTCTAAGCGCCAGATCGGACGTCACCAGTCCAGGTAGCATTCGGGCTTCGGAGGCAAGTTCTTCTCACAGATCTTGCCCCCTTTGGACAAGCTGAGGTATGGATGTGAAGCCTTCAAGGCAATGGTCATCCGCAGTTCATCGATCAAGCGACACCAGTTGGATGTCAAGGTGCAAACCCAGGCGTCTGCCTCCAGTGCCAATTCCAAATTCATCATTGCTAGCATCACTTCTCTTCGTGCAGCTCCTCCTTTTCCCGCACTCATCCAGGAATCCTTGTTGTTCCGGTCTGCTTTGGTGTAGATCACCTTCCAAGGATCCTTTGCAGCACAGAGTTTCAATGCCTCCACCACAACCAGCGGATCCTCCGTGGATAAGAAGACCGCTCTCTTCGCATAGGCTTCGCGGGGAAAGCTGAAACTGGTGTTGCTTTCCGCCACTTCTTTGTACTGGACTCGGAGCGTCTGATTTCCCGCGCAGAGCGCATCCATCTGCTCGACGTAGTCCTTAAAATCGAAGATCTTCGCCTCCCAAAACTTAAAGCCATGACGGACGTGTGCCGAGACCGTTCCAGGATCCAAAACCTTCGCGTTCACGGCGTTCACATGTTCCTTGCATTGAAACAACGTCTCAGATCTAAGTTGATCCAGTGCACTTCGAGTTTTCTGATTGAAGCGAATGAGGTAAGCGATGGATTGAGCACGCCACCAGTAGAACCAAACTCGAGGTTTCACCGGAGAACACTTCAGCAGAGGGTGAAAGACTTCAGGCACGTCCTTGAACTTGAAACCACCATGCTCTGGAGTGCCATGGATCTTCAGCACGTCGCCTGTGGGTTTGCACCACGTGATGTGCTGAAACCAACAGTGCCAACCGTCTTCGCCGGGGCAAAACGTGGGGTCCTCGTAGTGACGCTGCGAGTCCTTGCTTGGAATGATCAGGATGCGCCCCAAGTGCATGGCCAAAGCCAAAGCTTGCCCCAGCAAGTGAAGTTGCGAGCCAATGCCAGAAGGTGCATGGTAGTATGCCATATACCTAACCTTGCTGCAGTCTGCTGGATGCTGATGTTCCCAAATGGCTTTCTGCGCAAAAGCCGTTCCATACAAGACTTCCCTTTTGATTGGCGATATGCCATCAGAGCGATATTTCACAATGTGCCAGGGATAGCGAGACATATTCCAACCGCTGATCAACAGCGCCTGGTCCTCCGCAAAGTAGGGGCAGCTGCGATCACCGCGCGCGAGCTCGTGCTGGTAGATGTGGTTCTGCACTTCCTGGGCCTCCGTAGACACCATGGGTTGTGTGGTAGTGCTCACATCACTATCGTTTTTCTCATCTGCGACTGGGTCAAACTTCCCAAACTCTGCAAACACTTCTGTGGTGCTGACAGATGGTTTGTCCGCTATCTCCCGGGTTGTCCGCGGCTCCAGAAGTGTTCGGAACCGGATGGGGGAGCATGTTAACAGCAATGAAAGACCTGTCAGAACACACAGCACAGCCCCATTCTTGCATGTTTGTTGCCAAGCCATGGATGTCTCGCACGCCATGGGTGCTGGTGTCCGGCGCTATAATTGTCGAAACATGGGGGGGTGAACCACCAGGCCTGGTTATCAACCCTGGTCAAGATGTCTCCAATTTTAAAGGTGGACAAAAAAAGACCTCATGTTGTGTAGGGGGTCAACCAAAAAAGAAAACTGCTTATATAGCTCATGCAACACTATATACTGCAATATACTACATTTTTTTGCATATGTTTGCAATATATGAATATTATATTACATATACCAACTATCACACTAATACTGAACCAATGATGATCCTGCTCAGATTCAAAAGATTGTTTGTGGTGCGTAGCTGTCTTCCTAACTTCGACGTGTCAATGGATTGACAAGTCGGAGACATCATTTTGGAAACACCCTAAAAATACTGGACTGCCACTGAATGCCATTCACCCTGATTTCAAAACAAATATAAACCAGCGTAAAAACTATTTTCGGTGACTCCTGCTGTTTTCTGTGCACTATCCAAATCCATGCATTTGGTTTTGTCTAAATATATAGATATAGGAGACTCCTAAAATTGATGGTTTACATTGACACCTCATGCTCACATAAAAATGTCATAGCTGGGGAGGTGCATACCTGGTTTCAGATATGAAGCATTATGAAGCCCATTGATTCCCAATGATATATATATATATTTATATCTATTCCTATATTATATATTCAAAGCATATCTTCAACATAATTTTCCTATAGACTATAGCCTAGAGCTGTTATATAGTCCATAAATTCCCATGATATTTCCACTCTATTCCCACTGATCACTGGGGGTTTCGTCATGGTCTTCCATGACTTTGATGATGACTGGGGGTACCCCTCAGTTTTTTGGGAAATCTCCAGCCTTGTTGTAGGTAACCCTCTGGTAATTTAACAGTTTGCTATGGAAAATGGGCCATGTGTAGTGGATTTACCTATTGAAAATGGTGATTTACCATAGTTATGTCAGTTTACCAGAGGGTAACCCCGTTCAAGATCAAATTTAGTATCATTAAAGATCAAATTAAAGCTTCTACATAACATACTAAAGTTGACATAATATCATACTATAGCTACATCATCTAAAAATTCCCCTACAAGTTATCCAAACCTGAAGCAAGTCAAGTCGGTGCGTCAGCGAGTCTCACCAGCCACCAAGGGACCACAAACGGCAGCCCAGTCGTTGGCCACGACACCTGCACCAATGATGTCCTGGCGGGAAACGATATAACGTAACGAAGTGGAAAGATCCGCCATAACTCTAGTGGGTAAATCCACTATTTCAATGGCCATGTTCAATAGCTTGTTGTTTGTTTACCAGGCCGGGTATCTAGGGGGAAAATTTGTGTTATGACTAGAATTTCTTACAAGGATTCGATGATTTGCCAGGTGTTACAGGATGTTTTCTTGGTGAATCCCGCTTCAAAAAAAAACAAGGGTTAAATATCCAGCATTGCAAATGAATAGTAGGGTAGGATATGACATACCCCTACTTTTTTGGGACCAGAGATACAATTTCAATATTAGGGTGAAAGGATTAAAGCCCAGCATGATGGATGATGGATGATGGGATATATCAGGATCATATGCAAAATCCATCTGTGGGCCTTTTGGTTATAATTCTTGATCCATATCTTGTTGGTGCCGTGGTCAAACCGTCTTGACAATTGGAGGAATTGGACAATTTTTGGGGCATGGTCATCCAACCACTATCTCAGGATTTCCTGGCATGTATTTGAAACAAATGTTAAACAATATTGGATATATGAACCCAAACTTTGTAAATGTGTATGTATACATCACTATACATGTCTTATCTTGCAAAGAGAATGATGGGATACTCTCTGTTTATTAGTTCGATAATTTCCCACTTAAAACCTCCATTTGGTTCGGGGATGTTCATTTCCCCAGCTAGCCATGTCTAATTACCAGAGGATATGATGGTATAAATCCGATTCCCCTATATAGTCAAATCCCCACGATTGATCCTATTTCCTCCATTTTTCCCATCTTTCATCCCATGATATCACCATGGAATATCCCATTTTCCAGCATGATCCCATGATTGTCCCTATGAAACCATGTAAAACCATATTGAACCACCATTAAACCTCAAATTTTGAGGATAACATCACCATGAAATCCCTATCAAATCTCTATACAGTAAATCCCTATTCAATCCTGTATTTAATCCAATGGAATTCCTATCAAATCCCATGAAAACCCTATTAAATCCTATATTTGATCCCATAAAATTACCATAAAATCATGATGAAATTCCTATGAAATCGGATGCAATCTCTATTTGAGGAAGAATTTTCCAGGGGGTCACTGCGAATCTTCTGGGCGCACAGAGCCACGGTTGACAGTGCCAGCTGTCAATGGCACCTCCGCTGTTCCGCTTGGAAAAAACCCAACAGCATGGTGGTTTCAACGGGAAAATCATGGGAAAACAACCGCTAGAAATGGAGGCTTCTGAATGGGATCATCAACGAACTATTACTGATGGGTTTTCAAAAGCCATCGAACTGATGATTTGTGGAAACCCAGGATAGTTCGATGAGTCCTTTACCTCATGGAGTCCATGAACTTTTGGAATTCCCATGAAACCCGGCCTGGTAATGACTGTTACAGTTTGCGAACTTGAAAATTGCCATTGAAATAGTTGATTTACCTAGTCAAATTGGTGATCTTCAATAGTTATTTTTCAACGTTTACCAGAGGGTATAAATATTCTGAAAGAGAAAGGACTACATATTCCCATTGTATTCCAAGTCCATGATCATCCTCAATGAATATTTTTAGGTGATTTTAAACTCCCCGAACTCATCAACAGATAGGGTAACTAGCCGCCAAGGCGCGATCCTGGCCCCCATGGAAAATGTCTGGGATCCCAAGTCAAGTAACATGTGTGAAGTGACTGGAAATTTACACAAAAACCACATCCAACTTACCCTCTGGTAAACTAACATAACTATGGAAAATCACTATTTTTAATGGGCAAATCCACTATAAATGGCCATTTTCAATAGCTATGTTAGTTTACCAGAGGGTAGACCTTCCTCTGGGGGTGCAGTTCCAGTAAACTCAGTAAACTAAATGATGGGAATTATATGGAAAAAACACACATCATCCCAGTCCTGCACCCATCGCATCTGCCATAGCTTCTGGTACCAGTAAGGAGAAGTCACCAGGGGCCGAAAGTACATCTGGTACCACTTTTCATCATGCAACTTCCCTATACCATTGGTTGTAAAAACTTGGCAACTTGGGCTTTGAACCCATATAAACCAACCATGATCAACCCATTTCTCCAAGCATTCTTCGTTGATATCTGCGGAAGTTACGCTGGGTGCTTGTCCCGGAGGAATCAGTAGCTTGGTCACCAACTCACCGAGTTTTGCCTAGCTCTCTTCAGTTCTTTTAGCTTTTGTTGCCATCCCCAAGTTTCTGTTGGCTAAAGCCCAGTCTTCGGGTTTGAACACAGGCGTTCATCATCATTTTCACCAATAAGTTTCTATGTGTTTTTTCAATTTTGGGGTTTAACCCATTTTCAAACACACCCGGTCAACATGAAATCCCATGAAATCCTAATAAACCACCATGATATTCCAAGACGTTTCCCCTTGTTCAGACTCACCTGGTTGACATTGAATCCCAAGTTGCTTTCAAACATAATTATCCAAAAAATTGATCAAGTTGAATCCTTTTTTTGCACACATATCAACAACATTCAACATGGTTTGTTTTTTGAAATACCCTCTGGTAAACGTTTACATAACTATGGAAAATCACCATTTTTCATGGGAAAACTCACTATTTCAATGGCCATTTTCAATAGCTTTTTGTATGTTTACCAGAGGGTATCCCCAAGTTCATGAATTGATCCCTCCCAGGTTTTTGTTGGGAAACATCCCAGGTTGGGGACGTTCAGGACCTGCACCAGTTGCGAAAGCTCCTCCTGGCGGTTTCGGCACGTGGCACGTGGCACGGTTTTTCCCCGACCGTAGCTGGGTGATTTCATAGGATTTTACGAATTAGAAATGGGGATATGATGGTATCAAAAAACGACAAGTGAATGATATACTGAAATTAACTCATGAAAAAATTCAGCATGTGTATATAATATTATATATATATATTTGGGATGATAGTGATTCAACATCGATTGAATAATTCGGATAGTGGGTCATTGGGTGACATTATAAGCTACCAATGAAAGAGATGGGTGATCTAACCCAGGGGATTAGACCAACGCTGATTGGAGTGCTTGATCTTGCCGCAAGCAAAGGCAGCAAATCAGTACACATGGGGTGTCTTCAAATCATGTTGCGATATACATGGCCAATCTTAGATACCCTGCAAAAAATTAAATTCTTAGCTGGTTAGTAGATAATCCCATTGATACCAAAAGACTAAAGGATTAAACTACCCGTCTAAGATTGGCCTAGTATAAGTTATAAGCAACAACATCAAAAACCATGTCAGCAAATTCGCAAAAGAATTCGTGGTGAAGAAGATGCCATTCACTCATTTTCCTGGGCAGTTGGTGTATAAAACCTGAAATACTTGAGCCTTTGCGGGATTGTTCTGGTGATATTATCTACTTGCTACATCTTAAATCATCACCATGGGTTTCAATACTAAGTCATGGTATGTCATGGTCTAATCTTGGATGATTGGGGGTACCCCTATTTTAGAAAACCACCATATTACTATCATGACCCAGATCTATAGCCCAATGATGGCAACTGCAATCGGATGAGATACGAAGCGGTCACCAGCTGCCAACTGTACATCCTGCTGTAAAGGCCCAATTCAGTGAACTCCCACCTAAAGATACTAATACCTACAGTAGTAGCAAGCCCCAAAA